AGAATCTCATGGATATACCTATATCTTAACCTGCATCGACCGTTTCACACGATGGCTTGAAACAATACCCCTCAAGGATGTACCTGCTGAAACAGTCACACGCGTCTTTGTCGAAAGATTGATTGCAAACTTTGGATGCATATCCTCCATAACAACTGATCGCGGGCGACAATTCGAAAGCGGCTTATTCTTCACCTTGACTAAACTCATAGGTTGTATGCGTTTAAGAACAACGGCCTACCATCCTCAAGCTAATGGTTTGGTAGAACATCTACACCGACATTTGAAGGCTGGGTTATCAGCTGCAAACAATACACATTGGACTGAATCACTTCCTTTAGTTCTCCTAAAGATACGAAACGCCTTGAAAACTGATTCTGGTTGCACTACCGCCGAGCTAGTTTATGGCACAACACTACGACTACCAGGTGAGTTTGTTTCTACCTCTAGCTTCCCACCAGCGGTAGATCACGCCTCATACGTCAGCAGACTTACGAACGCAATGCGTTCAGTTAAACTTGTTCCTCTTTGACCACAGTACATTGATGTGTTTGTTCACCCGTGTTTGAAAACTTCTTCACATATATTTGTTTGTCATGGCTTTTTGTGTCGCCCTCTGGAACCCCCATACGACGGACTATATAAATTCATAAAACGTATGGATGAATTCTTTGTCTTAGATAAAAAAAGGCCGCGAGGACTCCATTAACATCGAACGTCTGAAACCGGCCTACTTAGAAGGAAATCCCATGAGTCTAGAGCTGATCATTCCCAATAATACACAATATAATAATTTACTTTATTCCAAAAACAGTACTTATAATACAGAATGGAATTCTTAGCATTTGTCACAATACTGCATCTGATTCACTCAAAATATATATAAAATTAAAACAAAATTAATCGGAGGAATTTGTCCACATTTACGACATAATTATTAGATATAATAATAATAACAGTGAGTTTGTTTCAAACGGTGTTGTCGATTCAGTTTGGAAACTTTAGCATGTTATAGATTATTGGGTCTAATGTTCTGTTGATATGGTATAGTGAGGGGAAATACAGAGTTAACAGTCATAATACAGCTTAAAATAATGTCCACACTTATGAAAAATAAAATAAACAAAACGAAAAAATTGAGAGGATTATAAATATAAGAAATACAATAACAATAAAGAATGATGCTTTAAGGGTAAAGGAAATGGTTTATTTAGTAGTGCAAAGAAGGTTAATTAGTTCATGTCCGACACTATTTTCATCACATAAAGTACGTGCTAAATATGGTATAGTGGAATTTTTATACTTAGAGGTACGTGCATAAATTCTTCTGAAAAGACTTCTTGTTTTACCTGAGGAGACACAAGGTTGAAGCTGCGGGTAGAGTGGGTGCTCAGAGTCTGACAAAATTCCTTTAGCGAATTTGTTGCATGACATCAAGTGCCTATCAGTGACAATGTCAACGATATGGCCCAATGGGATACCACTCGTCCTACTGACAGTCTTCAGAGTTCTACGAAGTATGACATAGTCCTTTTTAAGCAATCCAGGAAAGAATAAGGGTGAACAGTAAAGAAGAATAGGTAAAATACACGAGTTGATAAACTGTTAGAGGAGTGGTTGAGTTATGCCTGAGTGCCTTAACTTCTTAATGTAAAAAGTCAAACGAAATATTCTTTTAGAAATCGCTAAGACATGAGAGGACCAGGATAGGTCAGAAGAGAGAATTAAACCAAGACACTTAACTTCAGACTTGGTTTCTATATCAGTATCATCGATTTTGCAAGGGTCATAGGAACCAACGGCTTCATTTAACTTTCTTTTACATCGGAAACTGAAATTAACAGTCTGACATTTGGAAGGATTAAGTTTAAGGCCATTAGACGAAGACCATTTGCTAATTCCTGATAGAAAGTTGTTTATCTTAGTACAGTCAAGCTGGGAGTTAACAGACATTGAAATAGTTAGATCATCGCCATACTTAACAAAGTTCATTTCATCGGAGTGAGGCAAGTCATGCAAGAAGAAAGAAAACAGAAAAGGAGAAAGGACAGCGCCTTGAGGGACACCAGCCTCATTAAGCAATGAAGTGGACGACTTTCCCTGACATACAGTGTACTGATTTCAACAAGCTTGCTTAGTAAAATGTCCCTAGGTACTGAGTCGAAAGCAGATTTATAATCTAGAAAGGTGCAGCGAACAAATTTAGCCTCCTTGTCTAAGCTAAAGACAATGTTATGATACAGGACTGCAACTGCATCTAAAGTACTTCTACTATGTTTGTTGGCGAATTGTTTGGGATCATTAAAGGCTTCAAGTGAAGGTTGAAGATTAAGTAAGAGCAACTTTTCCATAGCTTTCAGAAAAGGAAAAGTAATAGCAATGGGTCTAAATATATCCGTTAGTCATCGAAGAAATCACTAGCACAGTGAAAGCCACCTAACCTTCCGTCGAACCCTCAAAGAAAACGCGTTTTGGACGAAACGTGAGATTCCCAGAACATCTTCACACTTTTATCACGTAGCTAAGTGATGTGATTCACCCAACTCTTAATCGTTTGTGGTACTTATTTATTTACTTCTTTCAGACACATCAATCTTTATTTTTTTAATTTTGTTTTTATTATTATAGCTTGATTCCACACCGTATTTTCAGTACAAGTATGGAATTTTCAGCATGTGATATCGGTAGCCCAAATTTTGCAGGCCGACCACTGATATCGGGTGTGCGTCGGTTGGTATCGAACCCCGGACCGTGTGCATTGTCGGTGAGAGTCCTAATCACCGTGCCACCGCCGCTATATATATACTGCATCCCGCAACACGAGCAAACGGCTTCTCTATAACCGTACATGTTACATCCACTAAAAAATTAGATATATACTTGTGGTGATTGACAATTTCTATCTTTGTATTGTTTAAATACTTACTGTTGTTTGTTAATATATTTATTATTTTGATTTGAAATATAATTCCGCCAAATACAAATTCCTGAATTCATCCCTCTCAGTGTTTTGGTTGAGTTCCTGTAATTCGGTCATTGCGAAATACAATACTACTAGTACAAATAACAATCACATTTTGGCGTCGCAATGGAATTAAATAATCTTGGAAAGTTTCCTATAAATGGTTCACCGCGGGAAATCTCCGATTATCTTGAATGTTTCGACGCATGGTGCATGTCGAAGAATGTTCGCGATGACAAAATTCCAGCTCATTTTATTACTGCTATTGGGCTAGATGCGTACAGCCTACTGAAAACTCTGTCATTTCCAGATAAACCAATTTCTCTGTCTTATGATAAACTCCGTGAACTTTTAACAAATCACTTCCACATAACAACTTTCGAAACACGAGAGAGGGCTCAGTTCAACAAACTTGTTCGTGCTCCCAACCAGAAGATTAGAGACTTTATTCTTCAACTTCAGATACAAGCTTCAAAATGCAACTTTGGAGATCAGCTCCATACTCAACTACGTGATCGTCTAATTGCTGGAATCAATATTCCTAAGTTAGAGAAAGAGTTGGTTCAGATACCTTCCTGCACCTTTCAAACTGCCAAGGATTTATGTATTACGTATGAAGATGTCAACAGTGACTACCCAGCTGCCACTACGTCAGAGTCTGATGTCATGCTGTCCAAAGTTGATAATAAAAGTGTTCATAGAAAGAAATCCAAACTGCCGTCCACATGTAATAGAATGCATACAGAAAGCAAGAACATCAAACCGTGTTTTTCATGTGGAAAACTTCATCTACGAAGCACTTGTCGTTTTCGGAGTGCTAAGTGCCATAAATGTGGTAAAATTGGGCACATCAAGTCTGTCTGCAGAAGTTCAAATAATTATGCTACTCATGATTCTCCCAAACTGTCTGATAAAATGAAGTCAATGTCTCTTTCAACTTTTCACAATACTCAATCTCATCTAGTGAGAAACTTCACTACAAGTTCAGGCAAGTCTCACTGTTTTATAATTGATACTGGGAGTACTGAATCTATAATTTCTAAGAAAGATTTACTATCGCTTTGTAAGCATGCTCAGGTAGACCCTACTACTAGTTCAATTACAGGCATAACTGGTCATAAACTACCTCTTATTGGTGCAACTAACATTTGTTTGAAGTCAGACAGTGGTAATTTTGTGAATATCCCCTTTCTTGTTAGTGAATATGATCCATCTTTATTGGGATTGAAAGCCCTTAGATTGTTAAATGTTGGAATCTCACTTTGTACTGAGTTGTTTGATGAATCTTTGTTCAGAGAATTAGTTTTTCAATGTTCAAAGTGTGTAGGTGGCATGCAGATTCAGCCCATCCATCTTGAAATAGAGGGTGATCCTATCTTCCTAAAGCGCCGATTAATTCCATATGGTTTGCGAGATGCAGTTAAGAAAGAGTTGGACAAGTTGGTTGAGCAGGGCATACTTATGCCAGTTGAATCTTCGAATTGGGCTACTCCCATTGTCACAGAAAGACGCTATAGTCAGTTTCAAGGTCATGATGGGTTTCTGCGTATACTGGTTATATGTTTTCGTGAATTCGTTTTCCATAGAATTTTAAAGGTTTTTTTGAACGTTTTGCTTTTTTTTGAGTATGTAGGTCAGTTTTTTGTCACTGGATGCTACTAGTAAGGTTGTTTTTAGGCAGAAGTTCCCACTTATTATGTTGGTAGTTAAGGATTATGGTAAACCTGCAATCACTGAGCTAATTCACGTGCATTATGATAGTATAGTAACACTATTTAATAAATGAACTCCCTAACTGGTTTGCCATTCTTTGATAATGTGATTGAACCAGAACTGTGGGATTGTTTTATCCGCATGACCGGCTGTAATTCATCACCTTGTTCTTCTTATTAAGCATTATCGAAGAATAGGTTATAATAAGTTTAGAATTGTTGTAAGCCTGGGGTGATTACGGTATAGGCAATAAATCGTATTAGTCGCCGTTACTCGCGATATGCTATGAACTAGAAATCTTCGGCTGATAAAACGCATTACATAAGGCACAGATCGGTGTAATTTGTAACTGACTTGCCAAGCGCTCTCATCAGGAAACAATCAACCAAAGTATGCTTTAAACTGTCGGTCTCAGGCATTTGAAGGGAAAGGAAGTGTAACACAGTTTAGACATAGATGTTTATATTGTGAATACAAATGGAAACAATAAGGTAATGCAAATATTTTCACAAAAATGATCGATTAACAGGGGCACGTCGTAATCTCAAAGTTGTTTGCGGTTCATTTGCTAGCAAAGTGTCCAACCTTCTTGTGAACTCTGCTACTTCCCGCAGTGCAGCATCCGGATTTCTTTGGTTCAGAATGTTGAGACGACGTCTTAAACGTTCATAAGCATTTCTGAAGGCGTTGTTCGGTTCCGGTGTTAGGCGGATGGCTCGTGGAATGTCCTCCGTGGTGTTATACTGACGTGTCCACCTGTCACTATTTCTCAGAATATCTAAGAGTAACAATTAAGGAAATAGAACTTACCACAGGTTAGATATGAATTTAAGAAAGCCTCAACGACATGAGCACATGGCAAATTGTATGCACAGTATGTCCAACACGTGCATTTCGCCTCATCCCTGTTTACGAAGAAGATGTGACCACCTTCTGCGTACATAACTGAAGTGGGAGATATTGAATGAAAGAAGAAGGATCGCCTTTGCAAGTCTAAGAAAACTTTCTTGGCAGCAAAGGGTGTGAGACGCCGTAATATGGGCTGCAGGGAAGTATGTACCTAGGAAAAATCGTAAATTATCTTCAAACTTACATCGTAATTGTAGTATTTACAAAGCATCCACTGGCCCTGACGTATTTTACGCATCGTTGTATGGTCAATCCACTTCCATATTTTCCATAAAGTCAGTTCCAGCGGATCCCCTTTACGTAAATATCTCTTCAGCTGTCTGTGAGCATTCTCAACTCTGTTGTTAGTGTTGTTCCCCATGGTGATGGCGAACCGGTTGCACGATGCAGCCCAATATTTCCTTGTTCTTAGCCAGTACCTTCTAATGTAAGCACCAGCCTCAGCGTCTATAACACTAATGATATTTAGATAAGTCCAAAACCTTTGGCAATAAATTCCGATTTGTTAACCTACCTGTCATAACTGCGCGTGTGCGCCATTCGATACAACCACTTTTTAACAAGTTTATTTGGGAACTGTTCTCGCCAAGGTAGTTAATGGGAATGCAGCTTACCTTCCTTCGGAATGCCTGGCATACATGGAAAAGACATAAAACAATACTGCACCTAGGGAATTCCTCCTTTAAAGCGTTAATCTGTGCAGTTGCACAGTCGACAGTGAATGTTAGTGTTTTTGATGTATCAGTCATAAATCTCTTAAATGTCTGCAATATCTCCTTGATATCTGCAAACTTTTCTCTCCTAGTCAGAGCAAACAAAACAGTCCTTCCTCTTCCGAATCCATCAGTCACAACAAACTGATATAAAGGCCATCTGTAATAAATTAGGAGAAGGATTTACCCCTTCTTGTTCTGCAACATACCCCATCTTATTCGTTTTATAGGTACAATCAATTCCAACTACTTCTGGAAACTTATGATACAAGTCTATCATATCATTGCGAGCGAAAATAATTTTAGATACAAAGCCTGCGTTGTCATGCAGAACACTAACTGCACCTGTCTGTCTTAGTCGATGAAGCAGGTCTTCCAAACTGCCGATTTCTATTCTACTGCACCATTTATTTTCACACGACTTACGTTTATACATCCTAGCCCGCATGTTTTTAATATCATCATACAGCAGGGCTTTGCCAAATTTATCATGCGCTAAATCCATTACTTCATGGACATCAGTATTCCTTTCAATGAACGGTTGTATAACTGCCATTTCTTGTGGTGATAACCGACGTCTAGATACATCAATGGACATGAAACTTGCTGTGCATGGATGGTTATGCACAGTTTGGTACTTTGTTATCCTGTATATGTTGGATTTGCGCCGTACTGTAATTACTGATTGACATGAAGTACTTTTGAACCTTGAAATTGTTAAAATTTACATAGACAGTAAACTTACCCTCTGTTCCTAAAGCCAGCACCTCGGGAAGCACGTTTACTTCCAAAAGTGCATTTAAACGTCACATGCTCGTATTCCATAGGACCGGATGGATCCTTTTTACTGGAATCAACCCGATACCATGTGTTGGATTCCTTTCAAAGAAATAATGAACAACTTAGTTAGTACCTTCATAAATGCATCTAAAGCTTCCTTAAATTGCATCCATGTATAAAATACACAGCAAAGCATTATCCTTTGGAATGTAGCTGTTACATCACACAATATAGATGACACATTCCGTGAAGTAGACGCAGTAGGAGTACTTTGCAACATCATTTAATGGTTCTAACAATTCCTAACGTGCACAACACAATGATTTCAAGTAAATGAACAGTTGTATGCATTTCATTGCTTATATACCACTTTTGTGACATAGGAAATTTACTTTATTTATGTTGACCTAGTATGTGCAATTCCCACAGATCACTAAACTGAAAACTTAAAAAAGTAGATCACTTAATACATACATATATCTACATGTCCAAAATTAGACACATTATACGTTTAGCAATTTTTATTGAATTCTATTCCCATAGTAACAAAAAATGCATACATCCTATTTTGGACTTAAAATGAATGCATCAAAATTATTGTTAACTTATATTCACTTACTAGACATTCCCATATATCTCAATGTACTTTAAATACTACAAATGCATCCAAATAGCGTGTGACTATCACACTACACTCACACCAAAAAAATTAACACGCCGTTATATTATGCTAAGTTAAGACTGACTTTAAACTGACTGTAACTTTCCGTGTCAAAATAAAGAGACTGCCATTTCTACTTATATTTTAGACCAATAAGAAGCCAGCTAGCCAACAGCCAATCAAAAACTGCCTATATCGCTTTTCCATTGTCACACCACTAAAGGCTGACGGAAAAACACCGAGAATTTGTGGTGACTATCGTCTTACACTCAATAGTCGTGTTCTACAGCAAAGTTGCACTACGCTAGAAAGCGAAGATATTCTCTACAAGCTACATGGCTCAAAATACTTTTCCAAAATAGATCTAAAAGATGCTCATTTGCAAATTCCTCTTGACGAAGCTTCTAGTGCATTAACAACCATTAATACTCCATTTGGATTGTTCAAGTATAAGTTCTTGCCTTTTGGTTTAAAGGTTTCTCCTGCAATATTTCAAAAAGTAATAAATCAGATGATAGACGGATTAGATGGTGTTGAGTCTTACCAAGACGACATTATAGTTCATGGTCCGAACATCGAATTGCATAATGAACGTCTTTTAAAACTGTTCAGGCGCTTCTGTGAGAAAAATGTCCTTGTTAGTCCATCTAAATGTCATTTTACTTTGTCGTCTGTATCATGCTTGGGATATACAGTAGACTATGAGGGTTTCAGACCTGATGCTAGGCGTTTGGCACCTCTAATTCAAGCACCGTCACCTAATGATATGACGTCGTTGAGATCATGGATTGGCACTCTTCAATTTTACTCCAGATTCATTCCCAATTTCACTCAACTGTTATCTCCACTTTTTAATATTGTCTCCAGTAAAAAATTTAAGTGAGAACAACAACATGAAGATATCTTGCGAAAAACCTTGGAGTTTCTTAATAAACAAGCTTTCTTAAGACCTTTTTCATCGAAAGATAAGTCCGTTCTCACTACAGATGCTTCTCCTACGGGTATAGCTGCAGTACTTGAGTAAAATGGACAACCTGTTATTTGTATTTCAAGACGTCTAAGTAAGAGTGAACAAGGGTACTCACAAACCCAGAAAGAGGCTCTAGCAGTTGTGTGGGCAATAAGACGCTTGCACAAGTATCTCTTTGGTACTAAGTTTCACATAGTTACTGATCATCAGGCTTTGAAATTCATTTACAGCCCAGAAAAATCTTTGAATAGATCATCTGCTGCTATGGTTCAAAGATGGAGTTTAGAACTAAGTGCATATGATTACACTATTGAACACAGATCGGCTAAGGATATACCTCATGCAGACTTCTTATCTCGTTATTCATTATTTGAAAATTCTGCTCATGACACTGATTGTTTGTTAGTCCAGCCGTTACCTGTGGATAGAGTTCGACTTATAAACGATACTCGGAAATATTACGGGTGCATTATAAATGCAACAAAAAGAGGTTGGAATATTCAGTGTAAGCGAAGATTTCCGGACTTTTATAAGCGAAGAGATGAGATTTCAGTCCATCCTGAAGGATTTCTATGTCTGAATGACAGAATTATTATTCCTCCGACATTAAGCTCTGCGATTTTGGATGATCTTCATTCTGCGCATCTGGGAGCTGATAAGATGAAATCATTAGCACGTCTAACATGTTGGTGGCCGGAAATTGATGCTGACATTAACAAAAGATCGAAGAGCTGTTCCAGCTGTTTGCATAAAATGTCCTATGGGAAGTCGTCGTGGAAACCGTGGCCTACATCTTGTGAGGTTTGGCAGCGTATTCATGCAGATTACTGTGGTCCATTCTTAAATTCATGCTATGCTTTAATTATTGTGGATTCTTATTCTAGATGGCCAGAAGTTATAATTACAGATAGTCCTAATGCAAAATTCACTCACAGAGCGTTGAGAAAGATTTTTAGTCGAGAAGGAATTCCAGATGTCTTAGTTACTGATAATGGTACTCATTTCATTGAGAAGAACTTCAATAATTGGCTTAAACACATAGGTTGCCGTCATCTGTACACAGCACCACGTCATCCTCAGTCAAACGGCTTGGCAGAAAATTTCGTACGAACATTAAAGAGTGCCATAGCATCAATGAGTCCTAAGAATTTTGATGAGCTAGAGAGATGTGTAGATAACTTCCTACTTCAATATCGCAATGCGGAGCATACAAGTACCCATGAAAGTCCTGCTAAACTGTTCAAATCTCGAATTCTCAGAAGGCACCTAATTTCTACGACTTCTGATGTACATTATTACAGAGGGAATGACTATAGACCTTCTGTTGGAATCATACTACAAAAAATGGGAAATCGAATGGTGAAAATATTAGACATCGAAGATCATTCAATTCATAACAGACACCTGGATCAAGTGAGAATAAACGAAGTAGGTCGTTCCGATTATAATTTTAATGATTCCGCTACTAATCCTGATATTGTAGATAATTCAGAAATAAGTCCAGATGATACTGATGAAAATAATATCACAGAATCAATTAGAAGATCCCAGAGACTTGCAAGCAAACCGAGACCTCATTATAAATACGCAAGGAGACATTCGACATGTGGCGGATGTGGTGATTGACAATTTCTATCTTTGTATTGTTTAAATACTTACTGTTGTTTGTTAATATATTTATTATTTTGATTTGAAATATAATTCCGCCAAATACAAATTCCTGAATTCATCCAGAAAGTACTAGACTAACTGGTGAAAGGATCAACTCCATTCACAGTAGTAACAGTCTTAACACACTTCATACTACAGACGCCATATAATTAATCCCAGCACTACTCCTGTTGGAGTCAACCAAAGCTACGGCAGTCGAGTGGCGGGACGAGCTACACAGACGTTTACCAAAGATCAGGAACCTCTACCTTACAATCAAGAGGCGAGCGCAAAGAAATCAAATTGGTTTATACTAGCTCGTAAAAAGATATTGGATATTGGATCCCTCTCAGTGTTTTGCTTGAGTTCCTGTAATTCGGTCATTGCGAAATACAATACTACTAGTACAAATAACAATCACAATACTTTTTTCGATGTTCTACTTTTCGCATTATTGTACTGTATGTTAGATGCATATCATTTTTCAAACGTTATTTTTGGTACATTTTCCTCAACAAGGCTCTTAGCATTCTTGTTTTCTTTCCCAGGTGCGACGGGCACTGGACAAGAAGCAAAGGAAGCACGAGACCCAACAGACAAACATCAACGAAGCGATGCACAGACGCCCTACTAGCATAGGTAGACGACCAGTAGGCACTAAATCAAGCCGATAGGAAGAGTTTTTGACCGATGGGAGAACCATTGGGATTTTACTTCCGGCTGGTACGTTCTTAGGGTCCTCACAACCCCACTGTGGGGAAGTGAGCTGTAGCGGAAGGTAATTCCCCAGAATTAATGTCCACAGCATTCATCACTGAACATTGGATGCTGACCCTCACTGTTTAAGTCAGCTTGTTTAGCTGAAGGCTACCGGTCAAGCATCCACGCCATTTAGTACGCCGTTGTGTCACGTTCGTTTTGCACGATCCCTAGCTATAGCCTTCATCTCACTCTCGTATTTAGTCCCGAAATATATCTCGTAATTTTGAACGGTCAATTCTGGTGTTTTACTTTGCCTTTGGTCTACGCAGAACGAATACTACAGAAGTTGTGGGTGTTAGTATAATTCGTACTATCCGTGAACGTCAATACCTTCAGCCTTTAAACGCCCAGAAAAAGATGCCGGTGAAAAATATCTCATAATATTTAAAACACATTGTGAATTTTGCCATCATTCTATCCCTCCAGTTCCGCCAAATTCAAAATGATCCAGCTGTACATATTAAATTAGATTTAGAATATCACTTCCTATGGTATTCTTTAAAAAGCTTATTCTTATCACTCTGTTACTGAACGAGTAGTATTATTTTCGATAAT